AACAGGGAGCCCCCCATCCTCCACCCCTCTCTTCCTCTGGTGCCCCTATGACGGGCTGACTCTCTTTTATACTAAGACCCTTGTCCCCACGTCTCCCCAACAAAGCAAAAAGAATAAGGATCTGACACCCCAAAAGCAGAGCTCTCTCTCTCTCTCTCACACACACACACACACACACACACACACTCACACACTCATATACACACACACACTCACACCAGCACATTTGGGACCATACGTTCCCACCTCTTTCCTTGAGTCCTGAGATCCTCTGCCCAGGACCCAAGAGCTCCTCAAACAGAAGCAGACCAGAAGGGAGGAAAGTCGTCCCATGAGAAGCTGGGTTCAAGCCTTGACTGAGGACTCTGGAAGACTTAAGACAGTGCAAGGAAGAGTGAACTGCAACCATGGCACCAAGACATGAAGTTAGCTGGCTCACCCATCAGAATATGAGCGGATTCACCCTGGAGGGAGCCTCACCATGTCTGCACTGCGCCCTGCAGCATGCATATTAGAATCAACTCTGCGCTTGTCCTGCACCACCAGAGGCGACCCTCACGGAAGATAAGACCAGCACCCTCATTAAAGCAGCTGGCGTGAATGCTGAGATTTTTGGGCCTGGCATGCTTGCAAAGACCCTGGCCAGTGCCAGTGGGGAGCCTCGACCACCTTGTCAGGGTTGGTGCACACCAGGAGGCCGCCCCCCACGGTGCCCTCAGAGGCCAGCAGAGGTAGAGTCTGTTGATGGCATGAGCTTTGCGCCTTCTGACTGAACTTCTTTTGTAACAAGTTCTACAGAAAGCTGAAATCTGTGGCTAAGAAAAGAAAAAGAAGAAAAGAAAAAGAGAGGAAAAAGAAATCCTGTCATTCGCAGCAACATAGGTGAGCTGCAGGACACTGTGTTAGATGACATAAGCCAGACACAGGGAAATAATGCATATCCCCACTCATTGAGAAAGGAGACCACCTCCAGGGTGGAACTGGGGCGCTTGGGGCAGCTACGCAGCAGAGCTCCCCGAGGAAGCTGGCGGTCACGGCCACAGCAGGCACGGCGCAGCTCCGGAGTCACCTCAGCCCAGTCACAGCCTGGCAGGGTCTTGCCAGAGTTCCCACTGCCCAGCCCTGCTCCGCCTCCACTCTAGTCATCTCACCTGGCGTTGGCAGCAGTGAGAGATTTCCTTGCAGAAAGAGGATAAAAGTAAGAGCAAAGCCACGCTCAGCGCTCTCAGGAGGACAGAGGCCCTTGTGGAGACACTGCTCCTGCTCCGTGTGGGGGTGGTTTGTTGTTGGGCATCCTGCTCTTTTTCTTGCTTAAAAATGTGGAAGCTGAAATAGTTGATCTTAAAATAGTGAAGTTAGGAACAGTGATTTCCAGAGGCCAAGAAGGGAAGTGGGTGGATAACAGGACTCAAATCCTGTTCGATGGAGGAAGAATCTCCAGGGCTCTGCAGCCTTGGGGTAATGGGACCCCACAGCAGTGCATCAAGTGTGTGTAATGAAGCAGAGGAGAGGAATCTGTGGGCCCCAAACAAAGAAATAATGCCTGTTCAAGGAGTTAGAAGTATGTTTCAGGGGAGAATTTGGAGCAGAAATGGGTATAAAGGCCAAAGCAATGAAAATGTGGAAAGGGTGCGATAGAAAGCTACACACCAGGGTCTTCTGTGAATGTAAGCTGTAGAAAAACTGACACTGAGGTCAGGGGTGTGTGTGTTGGAATGATGAATGAGGGCAGGGACAGCAGGGCGCTGGGAGCCGGCGGATGGATGGCCTGCGGTGCAGGGGCCTGGGTGGGAGCAGGCTGGGGCTCTGTCTGTCCCCGCCCCACCCCCCCTGCCTGCCCATGTAGGGACCAGAGAGCAAATCCAGTGCCACCTCGTGTCTCAGGGAGAAGCAGGGGCTCGGGAAGAGAAGGGAGCTGAGACTCAAGAACATGCAGTGCAGCTGGACAGAGGAGGAAGACCGCGGGGAAGGAGACTCACAGTGATTTTCACGGTGGAGTCAGGGGACAGACCCCAGGAGGACACCAGGGAAGTCAGATGACACCAAGGTCTACATTAACGAGAAGAAAGCAGACGCCTTTCCTACGCTAAGCCAAACAGTGAACTGTCCGCAGGTATCACCTGGATGAAAAACACTTCGCTTGGAAACTGATTTTTTACTGCTTTCTGTCCAAGCTCTAGTTGAAAAAAAATTCAAGGCCTTGCAGCTCGCAAGAGACGTGAACCATCTCCATCAACAGACATCTAAGTCCCTGCCAAAGGCCCGACTCAGAACCGCACGCTAGGAAAGGAAGACCGGAAAGCTGTCTGCTTGAGAATAGGGGATCCACAAAGGAGCCAAGAAACGGGGATGAAGTACAGTGAAAACAGATTATGTGAAAGATCTGCTGGCTCATCCTCAAAACAAGCAGCAAGGGCACCAGGCATTTTCCTTTTGATGCACCCAGACTTGTTTCTGGAGCGCAGACTGACGCTATCTTCCATTCCTTTGTGTGGTGCTGGGGGTTGGGCCCAGGGCCTTCACACTGAATTACGTCTCCCAGACCTTTTTAAAAATTTTTACTTTGAGATAAGGTCTTGTTGAGACACCAAGTAGCCCAGGCTACTTGAACTTATGATCTTCTTGCAGGGATGACAGGCATACACCCAGCTGTCTTTTGAGACAGAAGTTGCGGGCAACAAACCCAAAGACTGATGTGCTTCAGAAACCAGAAAGTTCTATGTAACTCCCACCAGTACACTGCAGGCCAGCTCCCAGGGGACCTTCCATGTGGCTCTCTGCTCCCCAGAGATGGATGGAGCCAGCCATCCATCCTCTTGTAGAAGAGGCCTGCCAGGAACTCCACTGTGAATGGACTTCTATGTGTCAGGAAAGGCGCACGTGAGGTGTTGGAATAAACCTTACCTTCCGATCTGCATGCAAAGATGACTTAACTAATAAAATTGCCAGAGGGTCTATTGAGTCCCATGCCAGTCCCATACCCTCTGAGCCATGGTAGACACCTCCATCTCATCACTGACCAGATGTAGTAGCCCAGAGGTCCACACAGGCTGAGCCAGGGCTGCCACCTGGCCAAGGAAAAGTTTTCAATGTCTCATAAATATCTGCTTCAAACAGTGACCCTGCTGTGGCTTCATTAGTAACAAAAACCCAAAAGCTCTTTCTTCACTGAGGAGAGATGTGGTTAGTGCTGATGTAAACAACACTATCTTTATCAGGAACAGCTGCATTAACTCACCGCAGATAGGAATCTCACCTCCATCAGCCACCTTCTCAAACAGGAAGCCAGACATGCTTTTTCCTTTTCTTACTGGAAATTTTACAACTCTTTACTATGGAAGGACAAGGGGCATAGAAACTTGGATCCCTTTGCCACAGAGAGCACCTGCTTTCTAGACCCTAATATGAATGATTACCTTACCCCTCTACAAAATCCTACAGCCTGCAGGTTCTAGAAAGGAGTCCTTCCTCCTCTCTAGACACCATGGGGTCTCTGGGCTTCAGCCTCAGTTAGGAATGGACTTCTGAGATAGTCATATACTACAAAGTCCCGTAGGAGCACTTTGGAAATTAGACTTCACACATCATTAGAACTTAGCCTTAAGAAATCTTTTTTATTCAAAGTATTCAAATCCAATAGATACTGATTTACTATGAAGTAAGACCATGTAAACTGTAACCTCCCTTTCTCTCTGCTTCTTCCCACCCTATTTGATATATTAATCCATAAAATGTCATTTATAATGTAGCTTATGCAACTGGTATGGATTTCTAGTGCCATGTTGACTACTTTTACGTCTAAAAGTAAAAGGTCTAGCAATAATGACCAGAACTACTTGCAGTCCTCTTTTGCTTTTCTGTACTTTGGGTAAAACTAGCCAGCTGATAAGAAGTTGAACACCAGTCTGGGGACAGATGGATTGGGGAAAACAGGCAGTTACTCAAACGCCAGCAACTAAACCCAAACCTATAATGTAATGCCAAGTAGCATACACATCAATTAAGTCATTTAGAAATCACCAACATAAGATTCTGTCAAAATTTGCTTTCTGTTGTGAAACTAGATTGTCAGTGTCTTGTACTTGGTGAGATCCTTTCTCCAAAGTTAAAAGTAGGTATAGGTTGGGCGTGGTGGTGTGTGCCTATAATCCCAGCCCTTGGGAGGCTGAGGCAGGAGGTTCACCATCAGTTCGAGATCAGCCTGGACTATATAGTGAGTTCAAGACCAGCCTGGGCTACCTAGTGAGACCCTGTCTAAATAAAAAAAAGTTAGTGTAGGCCCCAAACCTGCCATGGTGGGTGTGCAGGTATGGCGTGCCGTCCTGGGGGTGCCACCTCCCTCTCATCTCAGACGGTGGCATCTCCAGGTATCCCAGGTTTAGACTTCTAGCTTGCACATGGTAGCAAGAAAGTCGGGTGGGGGTGTTGTGGCTTCAGCTGCTGTGGGGGCCAGAACTGGCCTCTCCCACTTAGAACTGTAAAACACCCCATGGTGTAGCGTGGAGGCATATTTGACACTGAATAAGCTATTGCTATAATTGCACTTCGCCAACCATTTCTGCAAGTGTACGGCTGTGTCACGAGTAAGGAGAGTGCACAGAACCTCTCCAGAGATCAGCCGTGCACCCTCGAGTCCGCACCGTGTCTCTGTCCATTAAGGACACTTCATTTCGTTTAAGCAGAGGTGCTAACTACCTGCTCATGGTGTCAGCACTGCGGGTCAGGCAAGAATCTTTCCCAGCACCATTTCGAGCTCTGCTGGGACAGCAGCACCCAGAGGATACTCAGCGAGGTACTTTCCCCGGACAGCCCCTTCCTTCTCACCAGTGGAGTGGGTGTAAATTTCCACGGGCAAACCCATGGGCCAAGTTTCCTCCTGAATATTTGCCGGGAAGATTAGACTTGGTCTTTCTCCAACTCTTTTGTCGTCCATCTGAAATAGTACTGGTCTCTAGTTTAGGTCCAGAATTTAGCTCAAAATATGCCCTATGAAGTTGTAGGCAAGGGGGCACAGAGACAAAATGATGTCTTGAATTTTAAATAAATAAATTGAACCTATAAATTCATAAGGATTATGACTGAAGGTTTCGGGATGGTTTCTTTGTAATCCCATCCTCTGCCCTCATACAACTGGTCCCCACACTCTACCACCATGTGAGCAGGCCGTGGCATCTCCTAGTCACAGAGAAGGCCTCAAGCTCCACCACCGGTCTGCACACCGCCAACCCTCTCTCCCCTCCCACGCCTGCTGCATCACCTGTGTCCCCACTTCCCTGCTCCCACCTCGTAAGCTCTTACGCTCTCCACCTCCTTCAACACCTCTACTGCCTTCCCGGCAGCACTGCTCGGGTGTTCCGAGCCCGTGCCGGTGTGTGCCCTGCTCCGCACTGACTTTGTGGTCCTGCTAGGCTGAAGGAACCATGTCCGCGCCCTGGGATTCCTGCTCCTCACCTTCACTCCACCCAGAAAGCGCTGCCCGGCCACCAGCGGTGCCCCTGACCTCTCAAAGCAGCTCTGCTTTTCAAAATTTATTCCCACAAAAAACCAACAAGCAAACATTCATTCAGTCAACAAGGATTTATTGAGTTCTTACTGGTGCCAGAAGCTGGGGATGGAGGAGCAAGCGGGTGCCGCAGTGGGTGTGCACACGACGAGGGGAGCGGCACACGTTAGACAAGCAAGTGAGCGAGGTAAGCCCAGAGGGCGGTGAGTGCTACAGGGCAAGCGAAACTACAGTGGGGAGTGCAGTGATGGCGGAAATGGCGCTCAGGCCTCGAGGGAAGCGTCTCTGGGATGGCAGGCATCTGGGGACCCGCGCCTAGACTGCCGGGGAATCACAGGACAACAGCAGCAGGGCCAAGCCTGGGTGGGCACCCGCACCAGTGTGCGTGACACACACTCTTCACACAAGAGGCGGGAATGGAAAGAGGACAGAAGGTGCGGCCCAGCTGCAGCCGGGCGGTGAGTGGCCAGGCCCGGAAGAACCAGGAGCCCTGTCCCCTCGCAGGCTGAGCGGCCCCTCCCTCCTCCTTCCGTGGGCCCCTAGGGAGCACAGCGCTGGGGCCGGGCTGTGTGAGACACTTTCAGAGCTCATAACCAAATCATCTAAGTTTGGGCTAAAACAAGCTGAAATGGCTTCTGGAATGGACACAGATGGAGGCTGGGCGGAGGTGGATCCACTCCCACCCCTGCCTTCCACTGCCACCCTGCACTGAGGGAAAGTGGCCCACAGGGGACTCCTCCAAGCCCGCTGCTAAGGACACAGTGGGACCCGCAAAGGAGTCAGCGTGACCACCCAGGGTGAGCTCAGTGCCCAGGTGCTCAGGGTAGAAATGACCCAACACACCAGCTCGCCATTATCAGGCCTGAGAAAGAAATGAAAACCAAAGCTATTCTCCCAGGCTGAGCTCCCCAGAGCACACACACACAGACACACACACACGCACACCACACACAGGGGCACACACACCCACAGTCCACAGGGCACAAGATGACCTGAGGGTCTCCTCTGCCCCGGCAAATCTGTCCCTACAGGGGCTCTCTGTGCATAAAGGAGGTGCCGGGCGGGTGGGGGGTGAAGCGCTGTCCCTGCAGCTCCCATCAGAGCTCACATTCAGGATCCAAGCCCTTCCCGGCATCTGGGATACAGATGGTGGGGTGCAAAGAGGAGCACAGAGACGCGAGGGGAGCCCACAGCCCTACCCACTGTTGCCAAGCTCCGATACCCTCACCCAGGGGTGGCCTCCTACAGGGGGTGGTGGAGGGCTGCCAGCTCTCCCGGTCCACCCTCCCCCACTTGACTGTCCTCCTCCCCAGGGCCACGCTCCTGCGCTGCTTTCTTGACGCCCCCACACCAGGAGACAAAAATGCAGAGGAGGGCCAGGGGAGGTGAGAGGCACCAGGCCTCAGTCTCCCCAGCAACCGGTTATTCTGCAAGCAGAAGCTCTCTGTGCTCTTTCTAGTCTCATCCAAGTGCCCAGGCCATGCGCCTGTGCCACGCAGGGGAATGGGTAGGAGGGCAGCAGCCTGTGTCTACGGTCCTCAGGAAATGGGTGGAGAGGGCAAAGTGGTTGAAGCCAGCTGACTTGCTCAAGGTTTAAAAGCAGCTGCTTCAGTAGTTAGAACACCTGTGGTGGGCTGGACCAGGCTTGAAGGCTCAAACCCTCGGGCAGTCCAGTTTCACCCAGCCTGGTCCAGGAGACACTCACAAAGGCTGAAGGAGGCTTGAGATGAGGCTGAGGAGGGTGAGGGGCTCCACCTCACCTTTTCTCTCTGCTTCTGGCAGGGCATACTGGCTGCTTGTGACATGCGAATTTAGACAGCTCTCATCCTCTCGGGTTTCTCTGGTTCTCTGGATTATATGGCAGCTTAATCTTACTCATAAGACAACTTGGAACTTTCCCAGAGCTGGCTGTGGCACTGCCCACGGCCTGGTGGCAGGAGCTGATTGAGAAGGCCAAGCAGAAAACAAATGGCGCTGGGGAAGAGAGGACCCCTAGGGAACTGACTACAAAAACGGCCAAGATTAAAGCCACGCTCAGCAACGGACGCCAGGACAGAGGGAGCAGGGCTCAGAGGCACCATGGAGGCTGGCACCGGAGCCACCCTCCCCTGCAGAGCCTGGTGGCCTGTGCACATCCTGGGGAGAAAAGGACGGCAGGTGGCTCAAAAGATCTATGCCCTAGTGCTGGAGGCCAAGGGCTGCTCCTGGGCTCACAACCAGAACAGAGCACAGAGACACCCTTCTCACCTGCAGTCAGACAACCCTGGGGCTCCCTGGCCGTGGAGACCATGGGCATCAGCCGGTGTCTGCCCCTGCGTCATACTCGAAGTCAGGTAACTCGCCGGAGGAAGCCGGGCGGGTTGGGGAGAGGTGAGTCCAGGGGCTGACGCCATCCACTCACAGGACTGTCTTCCTCGGTCACTTCTTTTTTGGGGCAGGCTTGGTCTTCCTTTTCAACCTGGTTTACAAAGAGAAAAAGAAAATTCACAATATTGATGCATTTTTTCTCTCTCTCCCTCTCTCTGCAATCAACTAATATAATTCTGAATGTGTAGACTACTTTTGAGGTTCTTTTTCTTCTGGGAAACCAGATTTAAAATTCCTCTCTATGCCAGGCGAGGTGGTACATGCCTGCAATCCCGGTAGTTGGGAGGCTGAGGCAGGAGGATCGTTGCAAGTTCAAGGCCAGCCTGGGCTATTAAGTGAGTTCAAGACCAGTCTGAACTGCACAGTGAGACACTGTCTCAAAAAGACAAAAAATAATAGCAATAATAAAATTAAAAATAAAATGAAATTCCTCTCTTTAATTTCTCAAGTCTGGTAGTGTCTGGACAAATTTTTTTAAATGTTAATACATTTTTTATTATTTTAAAGAGAATAAAAAATTTAAAAAGCGATATAGAATTTCAAAATAAGATGATAGGAAATTAACAATGGTTGTTATATTGCATATTGTTATCTTCAAAGTAGTTGTTTAGATTACCAGATATAGGCATGAAAAATTGATCAAACAGTTAAGGATTAACTGTTCCTTTCAATAAGCCAATAGAAATTAGTAGACCAAAATTAAGAAGATAATATTTTTTCCCCTGGGCTGAATATAGGAAAGATAGTCTTTGAAAGTTCTCCTACTCTGTGTACAGTAATTGTTACTTTTCTGGTTACCACTGCAGATAATTTTGAAGCACAGAAAAAGGCAAAGGAAATGGAAGTACACCCCACACTTAGAAAAAGTTTTATTACCCATCGACATAAAAAACGAACAGACATATACACAGAGGGTAGAGACTCACATTATAAAAGTATGACCATACTGACATGCTTCTAACTTGATGAGGAACAGGCTGCATCCAAGAAAAAAATGAACAACATCCAGTAAATTCATTAAAATATGTGGCTCCATCCTTGACCAATGCAAAATAGGAAAATAATAGATCACTATTACAGTAAAGCCGAGCTCCATATAAAATGTCCTAATCTTGTTGTAGCACAGCTTGAAAGGTTAAAGCCTGCCACATAGCAAAACACATCCCACGAACAGCTCAGGCTCATGTCAGAGGAAGAAGGGTCTTAAGAATTTGTTCCAAACATGCAAGACTATCACAGGACTGCTCTTGAAGGTATTAGCTCCCCCCATGAGGGAGGTCTTGAATTAGCTCCCTCCATGAGGGAGCTCCAGAAGGTCTTGAATGTGGGTTGGAACTGAATTCATGTGCAAATCCATCCCTAGAGCTTTAGTAACTATCGCATAAGCGTCAGGTGCCATCTGTACCTGATGATCTTGGGAAATCAGTGCCAGTATAATTCTAATAGCAATTAGACCGCTATGCTTATTTAAGTCCCAAGCGTCTTCATGCCCACTCTGGTTTGAGGGTAGAGTAGGTCAACTGTGGCCATGAGGAAAGTTGAGCCACACTGTGAATGAAGACTTGAAAGAAGCACAAGAATGAAATGGCAATCCAGCCCAAGCACCCTACCTGGATAGGCTCAGGCCTACTCCCTTTAATAAACCTCCAAGCCAATTTGGCAAAGATTTAGCAACATAACATAATAATCATTTAAAAGATAAATGCTTTGCACAAAATAGCCGTTCAAAATATATACAAATAAAATATAGGCATATAGATTGGAAAGGAAAACATAAAACAGATACTATTCAAAGACAACATGCTTGTCAATGTAAAAAACCCTAGATTCTACCCCCCAAAAAGCTAATAAGTGAGTTTGAGAAAATCACAGACAAGATCAACATACAAAAGAAGTTATATTTTTATATACTAGCAATGAACAAACAGAAGCTGAATTCAAAAAGCTACTACTTTTAATAAGATAGACACAAAGCATAAAATAGGTATAAAACAAACAAGATGTGCACAAAGTTTATATGAGAAAAACTTGCTAAATAAATGGAGAGATAGGCCAAGCTCACGGGTTAGCAGACTCAGTGTTGTTGCAGTTCCCTATTTGATCCATAAATTCAACATTCCTTTCAGAATCCTATTAGGGCATATTTGCAGAACTCGACACAGTGAAAATCCGTATGAGAAAGTAAAGGATAGGAAGATATTTTCAAGATGTATGGACAAGTGTGGAGATTCACAGTAACCGATTTCAGCACCTCCTGGTGAGCTACAATAATAAAGCAGGTGTCGGTGAAAAGATAATGGACCGGGATGCAAAGTACAGAAATAAACCCACACATGTGTGATCAACTGATTTCTTCAGAAAACCGCCCAGGTAACTCAGTAAAAAAATCTCTTCAACAAATAATGCTACAATGACCGGACAAACTTATACAAAAATATTCAACCTGAATCTGTACATCAAATTATTTATTTAAAAAAGGACTCAAATGTATAATAATGTAAGTAAAACCTAAAATAGTATATTTCTAGAAGAAAATATAGCATAAAAGCTTTGTGACTCTGGGCTAGGAAAAGATCTCTTGCATATCACACAGAAAGAATGACCCACAAACAGCTAAGTTTGATTTTGTCAAACTTAAAAATTTGGTTCTTCATATAACACTGTTCAAAAAAATCAAAGAAAAAGAAAATGAAATGCAAGTCACAGACTTGGAGAAAATATATGAGAGGCATTTTTTCCAATTTTTTTTGCCCATGTTTGCGGTACACAACGATGGCTCCCCGTGTGGAGCTGGCGTGGGGACAGAGCGCAGCTTGGGTTATCACGTCCCTTCCCTCTCCCTCCCTTCACCATCTCTTGTGCTTCCCATCTGCAAAAGACCTACCTCCCTGTTTTCTACTGTCTACCTTTCACTTTGCTCTATATTTATACTTTGGGTTTCTGTATCTTTAACAAAGAAAATCTGTAGCCAGAATATTTCAAATGTCCCAGTTACAATTAGAAAACAATGCCCCAATTTTTAAAATATGTGAAATATTGATCAGAAGTAAGTGTCTTTGGTGGATGATATAGGGTCTTGTTAAGAGATGCTCCGTTCCCCACAGGGGGAGCCAGGTAGGTAACGCGATCTTCACTGCTGCCTCCTTTGTCTGTCTCACCCCCCCACACACACACACCCTGTGTCCTTCTCAGAACCCACACTGTGCTCCCCGCTTCACCTCAGCGGGAGTCTGCACAGAGCAATGGGGCGCAGAGGCCTGGGAAGAGGTCAGAGAACAGCTGCGCATAAGCAGGATCTGGTGAAGCACAGATGGTGGGGTTATACTACTGTTTTCAAACCTGCAGAGAAGGGAGATAAAAGGCAGAAAGAGCCAGAGGGAAACTTCTCATGAAGAGAGCAGAAGTGTTCAAAGAAAGAGAATGCCCGAGAAGCCGGGAGCCCTTGGAGAAGTAGCTCCCTGCTCAGGGCTCCCAGCGGTCCCACCTGCACTTACCCCGGACACTGTCACCATTCATTCTCCTGCTTGGTTCTGGCAAATCAGAAGTGACACAACTTGCTTACTGCCTCATTCTCTCCCCGCTCCAGCACAGTGCAGAGAGCCTTACAGGTAGGCAGTACGCTTTGTTGAATGGCTGAGCGAGTGAGTGATACTGCCACTGAGATGAGCACGTGATGAAGCATGTTGGGGGGCTGGGCTTCTTGTACACATAAGCAGACACTCCAGGAGAGTCAGCATTCCTCTTCCCTGAGGCCCAGGAATGGGGGTGCTGGCTTACTCAGTGTTACTGCGGTCAATAACCTCCCCTGAACTATCAGATGAAGGAAGCACTGGACACAGCTATCCCAAGTACGGACTGAGAGCATCTAAGAGGAGCAGAGAAGCTACATAGGTGTCCGCTACAAAGTGACTTAATACAAGGTATGGCTGCATGGGTGAAGCGGGATGGGGCCAGGGTGAGGCTGAAGGTAGAGGGCAGAGATTCCTCCTGAAGGAGGAAGTCTGAAGGGCAGAGGGAAAAAGAGGACACCGCTGTCCCCAACCACCAGAGTGCCTCATCCTGACAGCTGGACCCGTGCTGGGAAAGACAAGAGGAAAGACAAGACAAAGAAAGACTTTGTCCCTTGCTTTTGACCTCTTGTCCAATCACAGAAGAGGCTAAGAGCTGTGCAGACGAACAATGTGCCACAGAAAGGGAAAGAAATCACCCCACAGAGGGTTAGTGTCCCTCTGACAGAACCAAAGTGGGACTGTAATACTGCAGGTAGATTAGACACAGGGTGTAAAGTAGCGACTACAGTTATCATGGGAATAAAAAGATGCTTTAGGAAAACTGTTCATTATAAAAAGGTGAGAGAGGTTGCACAGGGCAAAGAGGAAAATGCACCTCTCTTTCATAGCCAATTAGATAACGGTTCCCACACGCATACAAACTTAGGTCCATCTTCCAAGGAGGGATAGGCATTAATGTGGCATTTCTTAGTCAACCAGCCCCAGATGTCTGGCACAAATCACAAAACCTTCAGGGGGGTCTCTAGACCCCATTGTTGCACACAGCGTCTTCAGTGTTCAACAGTCAAGATCTGGGAGAGGGTAAAAAGGAGAGGAACTCAGAACGGAGGCAGACCAAAATTACGGCTGCTTCAGTCGGCAGTGATTTAGGCACAGCAAAGCTGGCCAGGGGAAAACCCACGCCAGTCAAGGAAAGGGCCCCGTTTTAAATGCAAGGAAACTGGACACTGAGTACTTGACTATACTAGGCCACTCCCAGGCCCTGCTCCATGTGTCAGCTTGTAACAGAAAATACCCCCACCAGCTAGTACACTTCAGTTTCTTAGTTGCCAAGGTAACAGTTCCTGTTCCAGCTCTGGTTGCTCCTGTCTCTTAGAAACGGCTGGTCACTGTGATGCACAGCTCGTCACTATGATGCACATTGTATAAACCAATCTCCAATTGACAAGCCATGCTGCCTCTGTACTTCCTGCTTGCTTATACCGTATTAGCCCTAGACCACCAGAGATCAGGGCCTGATATTCTGGGAGTGACCCCGATTAGTGCCCATCGACATAAATAAATCTGCCTTCACATCCCG